ATTATTATTATTATTATTATTATTTCTGCAGTTTAGCGCCATCTGCTGTCAGAGAGTGAAAGTGCGCTTTCATCCAGAGCGTCTCTCACATGTTCTGCCATGTGCTTCTCGTCCGCCGCTTGTTTACATCAGAGTGGGCACGCCTCTTTCACGCAGCATACAGCGCTGTTGTGCATTTTGACTAGTTGATGGGAAAAGTATTCTTAAAATGCATTCAAAATTCTGAATAATTTGTAATATATAATTATTCACGGTATTTAGAAGTGCCCACGATAACAATATCGTGCATATTCATTACCGTGATATATCGCATTACTAAGTGAGGATAGCAAAATAAAGTTAACTGTGACATATTAAACCCAAATATTCTTCATACAGTGGACTACCAGTAACATTTGGGATCAAAAACTATCCAGACACTTTGACCTGAGCATGTTTTATTTCATACCTTTCTATCAAAGTTATCTGACATTATCAAGATGAATTTGTTCTCACACATTTTAACTCTGAGTCATATTTTATTACCATTTTCTAAACTATAGCCAATAAACTGTGATATAATGTGAGAAATGTTGACGGTGTCTGTATATATTTTGGATTGACTACTTCCTACAGTTGATTAATCACAGTACATTAAGACATTAAGTATTGTACTACAAGTTTCCTGAGATGTTATATTTACATATGCACTTGAATTTTCAGAAAATAAATATGAATATTGGATAAAGCCAGACTCAAAATTCTGGTTTGATATTGTTGACAGGTTACAGTCAAAGGTTTTTACTGAGGGGATTTTGGATTTCTCTTTTTATCACTCCATAAATCAGACAATACTGTCAACAGACAGAAATCAAACCCATTTTGACCATGTTTTTAGGAGTAAAATATTATATAATTCGGTGTGAGTGATATATGAACAAACCCCTCAGTAAAAACCTTCAGAATATAGAGAGGAATAAAACTGCTAAGTTATCAGTGTTAATGATATATGAACAAACCCCTCAGTAAAATCCTTCAGAATATAAATAGCAATAAAACTGTAAGTTTTGATGTTTGTAAGTGCTGCTGAAGTGGAGAAAAAACTCATTTTGAGAAAACGATTTTAAGCGACTTTAAAGAATTGCATTGTAATTGATATTTACAGACACAAAAAATAAAGTGTCATCAAATAAACATTTAAATGTGTATTTTAGATGCTTTTTCCCACTAGTATGAAAGGAGACAAGTTATGGAAGCAAAACATCACTCCATAATTCAGAAAATACTGTCAACAGCCAGAAAAAAAAAAAAAAGAATAACATTTTCGGAAATAAAATGTTGTATAAAATCAGGTGAATGATATACAAACAAACCCCTCAGTAAAATCCTTCAGAATATAAATAGCAATAAAACTGTAAAATTTGGTGTATGTAAGTGCTGCTGAAGTGGTGAAACAAACTCATTTTGAGAAAATGACTTTAGCCGACTTTAGGCAGATTGAAGTAGTTTTACTGTAGTAACTATCCATCAGTTCATCAGACAGATCTCACACACTCACCCACGATACGATGGAGAAGAATGAGAAGGCGATGATGGCGTGGACGGCGTCTGTAGGGATGCCGCTGGTGTCTTGGGACTTTGACCACTGATCCGCCAAGAGACAGAAACACACAAACCACAGGAACGTCCAGGTAGCTGATAAACACACAGCACAGAGAGCACAGACATGAGTCAAGACCATTTCATTGATTAGACAATCAGAGACTCTTGAGACAACAAATCAGCCACGAAAGAAACCGTCCACACACAGAAAACACAGAAGAAAAAGTCATATGGGTTTGGAATGGCATGAAGGCGAGTACATGATGACAGAATGAACAGGTGACAAAAAGGTTGTATAAATCATTGTGAGTGAAATATGAACAAACCCCACAGTAAAAACCTTCAGAATATAGAGAGGAATAAAACTGTAAGTTTTGGTGTATGTGAGTGCTGCTGAAGTCGAGAAAAAACTTTTAAAGAACTGTATTGTAATTGAAATCTACAAACACAAACAGATAAAATGTCATAACACTTCAAATCGTATTTTGGATGTTTTCTTTCCATTAATATGAAAGAAGACATGTTATGGAAGCACAATATAACTCAATAAATCAGAAAATACTGTCAACAGCCAGAAAAAACTACATTTTCACTATATTTTTAGGAATTAAATGCTGTATAAAATCGGGTAATTGATATATGAACAAACCCCTCAGTAAAATCCTTCAGAATATAAATAGCAATAAAACTGTAAGTTTTGATGTTTGTAAGTGCTGCTGAAGTGGAGAAAAAACTATATAATGTGAGAAATGTTGACGGTGTCTGTATATATTTTGGATTGACTACTTCCTACAGTTGATTAATCACAGTACATTAAGACATTAAGTATTGTACTACAAGTTTCCTGAGATGTTATATTTACATATGCACTTGAATTTTCAGAAAATAAATATGAATATTGGATAAAGCCAGACTCAAAATTCTGGTTTGATATTGTTGACAGGTTACAGTCAAAGGTTTTTACTGAGGGGATTTTGGATTTCTCTTTTTATCACTCCATAAATCAGACAATACTGTCAACAGACAGAAATCAAACCCATTTTGACCATGTTTTTAGGAGTAAAATATTATATAATTCGGTGTGAGTGATATATGAACAAACCCCTCAGTAAAAACCTTCAGAATATAGAGAGGAATAAAACTGTAAGTTTTGGTGTATGTGAGTGCTGCTGAAGTCGAGAAAAAACTTTTAAAGAACTGTATTGTAATTGAAATCTACAAACACAAACAGATAAAATGTCATAACACTTCAAATCGTATTTTGGATGTTTTCTTTCCATTAATATGAAAGAAGACATGTTATGGAAGCACAATATAACTCAATAAATCAGAAAATACTGTCAACAGCCAGAAAAAACTACATTTTCACTATATTTTTAGGAATTAAATGCTGTATAAAATCGGGTAATTGATATATGAACAAACCCCTCAGTAAAAACCTTCAGAATATAGAGAGGAATAAAACTGCTAAGTTTGGTGTATGTGAGTGCTGCTGAAGTGGAGGAGAAAACTTTTAAAGATTTGGATTGTAATTGAAATCTACAGACGCAAATAGAAAAAGTGCAATAAAACAAACACATAAATGTGTGTTTTGGATGTTTTCTGTCCACTGGTCTGATAGAAGAGATGTTATGGATGCAAAATAGACCAGTGCATGAAAAAACGATGGTTTTGCCTGTAGTGTATCGCCTTATTGCAGTTTTTCTATTTGGGTCTGTAAATTACAATAATTTCAGTTACAATGTATTAGGGCTGTGCGATATGCGATAACTCAATAAATAATGCGATATTCGATATGCGATACGATAATGCTTAAAGTGCCACATGCTCAGATGAAACAGTTTTACTCAGCTGTTGCTGAGTCAGTTCTGTGAACTTCTATCTTGTGTCACATACTGTATATATGGTTATTTGTATGTATGTATGTATGTATCAAGAGCTCCTGTAAAACCACAACAAATTCCTTGTGTTTGCGCACACTTAAGTGGTGAATAAAGCTCATTCTGATTCTGATTCTAATAAGAAAGCACCCCTACAACAACTTCTGAAAGTGAACGGTAGTGTTTTACTCTAGCATTACATAAAAATGTCATTTTAACAAGTTTAGGAACTGAATAATAAAAATAAAAAATACAACACTGCTTAGTATTTACTCTATGAATTCAATATGCACTGATTCTTATTTAAACTACAAAAGTTATTTAGGTAAGAGCAGAGAGTGATTTTCTCTTTGTCTTTTGTTCATGGCCCCAAATATGCAAATGCAAGCCGTAGCGATATGCATATTGTGATATGTACGTTTGCGATATTTCGATAATTTCGATATATTGCACAGCCCTAATATACAGTAAATCCTTAGTAAATACTGGTCTAAGAAAAAGTTATTTAATGCAAATGTCAATTTAAAGTATTCATATTCAATCAAAACCACAGTCGACACTTAATATAAAAAATATACAGTATATGTGAGAGTCAGTCAGGACTCAAAGGAAGGCCCTGTGTGTGCCAGTTGGCTTGGATGTTTACCTTGCAGAACACGTAGTGTGTTTGATCACATGATGAAATCATCACTTCTCCTAGTGTTACAGTGCGTGCCAGCTGCGTTATGATAAGCATGAAGAGAAATAAGGTCAGTGGTGACTAAAAAACTTCAATCTTGCTGAAGAGTTCAGTAGGTGTAAAAATGATCAAATCAGACCTATTGCAAACAAATTTGTGGAGAAAATGGGTTCAAATAAGAACTAGATACACCTATAACTAGATATTTTATTATAAAAATATTATAGATAAAAAACTTGTGTGCTTTTGACTTGGACCAATAAGCATACACCTGGCAACCACCCATTATCATTTAAACACGATTCAGAAACAGGAAGTAGTGCAGCTGCTTTGTTTACAGGGTTTCCGGGGTAACGGCTGCATTTAAATGAATTATTATTATTATTATTATTATTATTTCTGCAGTTTAGCGCCATCTGCTGTCAGAGAGTGAAAGTGCGCTTTCATCCAGAGCGTCTCTCACATGTTCTGCCATGTGCTTCTCGTCCGCCGCTTGTTTACATCAGAGTGGGCACGCCTCTTTCACGCAGCATACAGCGCTGTTGTGCATTTTGACTAGTTGATGGGAAAAGTATTCTTAAAATGCATTCAAAATTCTGAATAATTTGTAATATATAATTATTCACGGTATTTAGAAGTGCCCACGATAACAATATCGTGCATATTAATTACCGTGATATATCGCGTTACCGAATACCGGCACAAGTCTACCTGACATACATCAACTGACAAACAGATGCCATTTAAATTGGTATATTTTGGAAAAATAGTGAAAAACAAGTAGGATTGAAGCGTTTGGCGTCTCACACAGGAAGAGGCCATCTGAGCGACATGTGCATGTGTTCAACCACAAGACGTTTCACTTTTAGAGAAAGATGCCACAATAACAGGTCAAGTGGAAAAAAAGACCTTCAGAAAATGGCATCAGAGTTTCCACAAACGGAACAGACAGCTCTGAGGAAACTGGTATAAACCTTGATCACCGACGCAGAAACGACTTGAGGAACGTCTCACCTGAGAAGCCCAGATCAGCCATCACCACGTACTTCCTCTCCCGAGCATTGCTCATCAAAGGCAAGAGCGCATCAGCCAATAGGAAGGCGAAGCAGGCCAGGAAGGAGATGACGCCGATGCCCACGCCGTAATGACAGGCCCCTTCATTCCTGTTGAAGACGCACTTCACCTGTGCTTCAACGTTGCTGTTCACGTAACCTTCGGCGGTTATGGAGGCAAACACCACAATGGCGAACACCTGACATGAAGAGAAGTGAAAGCTGCATCAAACCATAAAAGCAGAAATAAAGCAACCAGATCTTCAAATTTTCAGAAGCAAAGCTGTCTCTAAATATTAACTTTAGCTCAGAATTTCCCAATGGGGGTGCAAACAGATTTGCATGATCTCTAACATTTCTTTAGGCGGAAGTTTAATGAATTTCACCAAGATTCCGCCAAAATAAAACCTCAAGGATTTGAAGAATTTAGGATAAAATAAGACTATTTCATAATTATCTTTTTTCTTACAGAACAACTGTAATTTACAAGATATTTTTGTCTTCATTTTTGTGATTAGAGTACTGAATGGGTGCCGTCAGAATGAGAGTCCAAACAGCTGATAAAAACATCACAATAATCCACAAGTAATCCACAGCACTCCAGTCCATCAGTTAACATCTGGAGAAGACAAAAGCTGCTAAGGCTGGTGTATGTAAGTGCTGCTGAAGTGGAGGAGAAACATATTTTGAAAAAACTAATTTAAGCGACTTCAAAGATATGCATTGTAATTGAAATCTACAGACGCATATAAAATAAACACTTGTGTACTCTGGATGTTTTCTTTCCACTAGTCTGAATGATCATTATTGGGTGAACTATTACTACAATAGTATTAAAATATATTAATATTAACACAAAGATTTGACAAAATAGGTCAGTGATTAGATTTAACTAACCCAGCTAACTGAAGTTAATTTAAACCCTGAAATAAGGGGACTCAAAATGGCTTAAAGTGATTTAAAATAAGACAAAACAAGCATTAAAATAAGATAAAACAACTAAAAATCAAGATAATCCATATTTTTGTTATTTTAATTCTTGGAAAACCTGGACACGAGGAAGCCTCGTTTTAAAAGTCTGATTTCTAGACCTGGAAAAGTCATGCAATTAATCGAATTTTAAAATACCACGGGCATTTTTATAATAAATGTACATTTATCTAGTTTTGCCGATCTCTAAAATATTTTTTCAGGTAGAAATTGTGAGTAAAAATATTTTTATTCAATAAATCATGAACAGCTGGAAAAGTCATCTAAATTCATTGGTTAAAAAGAGCAGGAACCCTGAAGAACATTCAACATCATTCAGCTTCTGGAATGCTGAAATTGAACTATTTGATTTGATTTTAATTATAATTATTTTGGCTTATTTTAATCTACAGAGACTCCTGGTTTATATTTGGGGCCTATGAATAGGATTGTGGATAATGGCCTTTGAGCCACAATAAAATGCAACCAAAAGACTTCACAATCATCATTGATTGTATCATTGATATATGGATATTATGTACAGTTTTTGTTATGAATCTGAATTAGATTTTATTTTCACTTTAATTTTATTTAGAGTTTTAGTAATTTTGTTGTATGTTTTTGTCATTTGTATTAGTTTTTTAATGTCTATATACCATTTATTAATTGTATTTTATTAGTTTTAGTTTATTTATTTATTATTATGATGATTTTTTTTTTACTTAAATTAATTGAAAATGAGAAATGTTGCCATGGCAACTAGCTGAAGTCAAATATGTTTTTTATATTTTATTTTATTTCAGTTAATGTTATGTTTGTTAATGTTTAATTTTTTCTTATGGATTGAGTTAACTATAATAACCCTGACATTAGGGATATGCCGGTATCAAATTTTCATGTTGCGATTAATTGCTAATGCTTTTATTACGGTATACGGTATTATCACGATATTGAAATTAAGTAAAAAAAAAGTGCTGTCATAATACAGTATAACAGGTTTAATAATTGAGCACTAATTGTTATTTTTGGGTGAACGCACACTTTAATGTTAAAAGCATGTGTCTGAATGAGTTTCATGTTATTGTGAAAGAGCTGCAGGCTTCTGACAAGTGTAATAATGTATATGTTTTAAAGAACACCTGAAAGAGGAATAAATGTGAAATGGATGAGCGTGCAGCGAGAGGAGGATGGAAACATTGAGAGCAGGAAGAGGTCGCGGCCACACGCCTCCGCCGATGTGTTTTCATGCAAATGTGTCACAAAGATCAGACAAACTTCAGAATCACTGTAGGAGAAACGGATAAGCGTTACGCCATTCTGTCGCAGGCCTCTCGTATTACCAGCCATCTGCCGTGTTTACATGTCAGCACTGGGACATTCTGTGCTTGTGCACTAAATCACATGATGCACATGATCACAGACACAACTAACTAACTACTGAGTGACTAGAGAGAGACACAACCAAACACACTGCTGCTGTGCAAATGTGTATGACGCCGTAAACAAATTACCCCGAGCAAATCTAGACATGGCTGACAAGGTCATCTGATGCCGTCATCTAGACCAGGACTAGATATGAATCAGTTCTCAGTGACTCTTTCCTCAGCGTCTGTGGAAAGCCCCTTCATATCATATGCCTCAACAGCTAAATTAACCACGTTTACACTTGTGAACTTACAGCAATCCAGGTCCTGTTCTGAGAATTTACATTTGAACGTCGAAAACTCTCTTTGACAGATTTGAGGATGTTTTCTGCTGTTCAATAGAGTCTTCAAAATATCAATTAATTTAATCAGTCAATCAGGATGACTCTAAAACAGTCAGAAAAAGAGGCAGACGGTTGATTTCGGTCCTGAAAGTAAAGCATGCAGATTGACTCTTTTATACATTTACACTATTAAGTCAAGTCATTTTTATTTCTGTAGCACTTCATACAATACAATTTGTGTCAAAGCAGCTTAAAAAAAACTGTGTTAATGTTGTAAAATGTAGTAATTATGAAACCAGAATACAAATGAGTGAATATTCAATTTAATTCAGTTCAATAATAGCTTCAGTTCATCATCAATTATGCTTTTTAAACTTAACCCAGCAACCAAATATGTATGTTTTAATACGTTCCAAAACGTTATTTCTGTTACATTCAAAACGTCCAGTTTTCTAAACGTTTTCTTGGTTATGCAAACATTAAGGAACACATTTAAGGGAACGTTACATTTTATCATTACGAGAACGTTCCTTTTAAATGTTTTCTGAACGTTCTGAAACAAGTAGTAATGGTTAAGACTATAACATTCAACTAAAACGTTTCAGGACGAAAACCGTGCATGATACACAAGTAACATTTTTGAACTTTTTGAGAACATTATTAAATACCATGTAACTTTAAATGAACGTTCCATTAACGTAAACGTTTGCTTATTTTTTTTTTTTTTAAGTTTTAAACCCATTTCACCCTGACCCTGCTGTCGATTATTAATCATAATAAGCTGATGATTTGAACGTGACACATGCCACTCACCCAGCTGAGGAACCGTATGATAGTTTGAGGCTGTTTGATGAATTTGATGGGATCGAATCCCGCTCCGGCGAGCGAGGCTCCGTACGCCGCACTATTCGACTCCATCGGTGAAACACACACACACACACACGCTCGCTCTCTCTCTCTCTCTCTCTCTCACACACACACACACACACAAGCGACAGCTGAAAACACAACACGGACACACACCCCGGTGCAGCTGCTTCCTCACAGACCGGTGTCAGATTCGCGAGTGAATCGTTCTATTGAACCGGATCTTTTTGATGATTCACGCCACCCAGGCGACCGTTAAAACGAACTGTTCAAAAGAACCGATTCGCTCAAATGTTCCAAACTTCGCGACGTTGAGTGAAAATTCAATACGTTTAAAGTCCTCAACGTTACTACAAATCATTATTGATTTAATTACGGCAGTTTCATGTTTAATAATGAGATAATAAGGATATTAACACACAATCTGTAGATTCTACAGTGTCACGATTGTGTGTTAATATCCTTATACTGTTTCAAAACTTTGCCTTTTTTTTCATAACTTCACACACAAATCCAATAACTGCACACAAAATGCAAAATGCCTCACATCTCTTGCAAAATGAAGCACTGCATTCAAAATATCACAAAGACATCTCAAAAGCAAACATTTGCAAACAGCTTTGCCATAATATTAATTTCTGTTAGATTTGTGTGTGTTACATAGAGAACTGTGTGTTGTGTTTTGCAAAAAGTGTTTTCTGAAATTGAAAACTGAGTCAAAGGCTGAAAATTAGTGTATGGTTTTGTAGATTTGGTGTGTGCTTCTGCTGTTTGATTGTCAGCTTTCAGAAACTGTGTGACAAGTGAAGAGTTTGTGTGCAAGCAGTTGAAATTTTTTTTAACACACAATATAATATCCTTATTATCCTTATAATGGTTATATTTAACCATTACAGTGTAGATGAACAACAGCTAATAAACAACGCCGTTCATTCAAACCAAGAATGCACAAATTATCTGTTTTGTATTAATTTGTCATTAAAATAAACATTGTACACTGTTGGCTTTATCAAAGCATATTTTTGTATTTATTTGTAATTTTCCCTTCCCAAAACCACACACACACACACACACACACACACACACACATTTACTTGTTTAAATTGCATAGACTTCTATTGTTCACACATACAGCTGGCTAAATACAAATATTATAATCTAACAGAACATTTTCTGAAAAGAAAAAATATGTATATTTCATAACATTTTTACAAATGAGGACATCCCAAAAGCAGGTTTTGTCAGGTTTAGCTCACTTGGTACCACCCTGCTGAAAAAACAATAGACACCATCACAAAATTTGTAATGGTTTTATTGGTTATGGTGGGACTTTTATTGGTGGCTTGTTAAAACCACTAAATCCTAATGGAATATGTCCCAAAACACACTACAGAAAACCATTTTTTAATGGTTTTAATGGTTAAAAGTTGATGGTTTGTAATGGTATTTGTAGTGGAAACCATTAAACATTTCTGTGATGGTTTCTATTGTTTTTTTCAGCAGGGAATTTGTCTCCAAAATACAGTTAAGTAGGTACAAACACACTCTTATTTGACATGAATCTGACAGTAGACACATTGTTGGCTGTCTTTGCTTCTGATTGGTCACAGTCATGTCAACCCATGAGCGCTTGTCTATTGTTTCGGTTTGAATAAACCTTTGTCTGAACAGAATAACATGCAACGGATAAGTGAAGGCAACCAAACGCTTTCAGTTTCAGTGGATCTGATTAAACTCCCAGAAAACCCAGGAATTATTCTGAAACCGCGCCTTCATACAGAACGCTTTCATCCACGGATTGGTCTTCATCCTGTCAAACAGAACAAAATGATCATGTTTGAAACACCTCTAGAACTGTCTAGAAATCAGTCTAGAAATAATAAATAATAACTCATACCTCAGCAGAGCCACTCAATCTGTCCGCTTGGACAACGTCTTCCTCATAACCCTCCAATATCTCAAACAAAAGAATCACACACAAATGCTCTTTTACCAACAGTAACTTAGTAAGCGGCCTATCTAGACAATATTTTAAGGCATGTTCCAAAGAGAAGAAATTATGCACTTTTTTGCCAAATTTTGAGGCGGATTCATTATATGCCATTCATTACTAAACGTCTGTTTATGAACTAAAAGAGAAGCACTAATAAATGCATCCTCACTAGATAATCTTCATCCTCCTCTTCTTCATCTTCCTGTTTATCAGTGATTCTCATTTTTCGGCGTTGTTCAGTGAGTCTTAAATAAAAAGCAGGACATAAGCTCAACAATACATTTGATTTTATGCTAGATTTATGACTTTGTAAAATAAAAAATGGAAAACTCACGGGTATTTTCTTGAATATCTTCTCCCTGAGTACATGTCAGAATGAGCGTATGGTTTTACGCAGTCAAAATAATGATGAATTGCACATAACAAACGATACATATGCTATATATATAGATTAACTTACGTAGCACAACTCCATAAATACAGCAAGCTATCACAGCGACGTTCAGCAGGGCAAAAGAGGTGAAAACAACGATCACAACCAAAGGAGAGACTGTGTTCAGTGCTGCAAAAATACAGACAGACAGAATTCATCAGAGCCAGACTGATGCAGAACAGTTTGAGTGTTTGGGACTGTAGCGTAACACATCGTAGTTAATTATAGTTAAGCTATAGCATTATGATATGCTTGACGAATCTTGTCAAACAATGAAAAAAGAACCAAATAATCAATACTGAATGAGAGGAGAACTTGAATTTGGACTTTTGAATTTGTCTCAAAACTCTCAAAAAAAATGTTTCAAAATTTTTTTTTAGAAATACATTTTATATATATTCATATATTCCTTTGTAAAATACACATTTAATATAAGATTTAATTAAAAATAAAAAAGGTAATTTATTTAAAAATTATTTTTATTCATAAAATTATATATGTTTACACACGCAATTCATTTTCATTCAATTCATCAATTTATGAATAAAAATAATTGTAAAATAAAAATAACTTTTATTTTAATTAAATCTTATATTAAATGTGTATATTACAAAGAAATATATGAATATATAAAATGTATTTCTAAAAAAATTTGATTCATACATGACTTTATGAAGAAGTTTTGAGACAAATTCAAAAGTCTGAATTCAAGTTCTCCTCTCATTCAGTATTGATTATTTAATTCTTCATATTTCATTTTTTGACAAGATTCGTCAAGCACATCATAATAACCCAGTCACATAAAATTAAATTACAGACAATTAAATATATATATATATGTAAATGACATATACTCTTTAAGACATGACTTTTTCTTTAAGTACCAATTCCCTTAGTTGGATTCAAGTATTAATATCATAATTCCTGCATTTTTATCATTTGTTTTTATTATGTTATCATAATTATAATTATTATTAGTATTCTTATTTATTTTATTATTTTAATTACCTTTATTTTCTGTATATATATATATATATATATATATATATTCATTAATTGATTAACGCGACTATTATTTTATCGTGCATTAACGCAGTTTTTTATTTTTATGAAAGCCCGTTGCTCACTGGCTCTGAATCGGGTGTGCCTCACACGTCCTGAAAAGTGAAGCTGCAGGCTCTTT